TGGCAAGGGTTACCAGGAGACAATTTATCCCATCATCATTTAAGCGACAGTCTATTTAAATGTGTGGTAAATGATTTGCGCCCATAAGCTTCGACTTAAAATAATCATCTTCATCGATCAACTCATACAATGAATGTTAGACACAAGTGCTTGTTGTTTTGAGTTTTGTGCTTTTGTTTTATGCACTTATCATCGCCTCGACTCAGATTTGCTTGCTATATCATTGGAAATAGGTAATTGGAGCTTCAATATAGATTATTTCGAAATCCACACCCCTAAATTAAACAGTATAAGAGACAAAACTAGGGTTTAAAATATTGATATAATACGGTTAATCTACCGTTTAAGTACCGTAAGGGCCATGTATATTTTAGCAACATTGCACCATTTTTTATTTAGTATATTTATTCTTTCTTCATAAACGTCACACGAAGAAAAAAATTATGATGACTATTTCTTATTGTTTCTTTTATTCTTACTCTGCCCAAGCTTATCCTAAAAATAAAAATAAATAGTATAATCAGTCCCCCAAGAGAAAAGAACGGGTCATGGCGTAAGGACATTTTACTATGGTTGGTGGTGTAAGTTTATTGTTTCTGTTTGGTGCCTTGAAAACTTATTTAAAATATGGCCTATGTTTTATTGGATAATATAGTTTAAAGTGGGTATTAAATTACGTTTAATTTTTTTTAATGATTAGATTTTCACGAATAAATTTAGCATATCTAAAGTCAAACAAAAAAATAATTAAATTAGTTAAAAAAATACGAAAATGCCTATTAAATACTAGTCTTAGCATGATCGTGGAGGATAATAATGAATTTGTACCACACATGTCAATCCATGTAGGTACAGTTCGCCCAAATAAAATTTTAGCATATTTGTAAACGACAAAAGTACCTACTCACAGATAAAACTCTTGACTTATAAATCTTGCTTACATCTAATGTTATATAAAAATACTAATGAATAGATACTAAAGCACATTGAACCGTGACTTTTACATAGGACATACAACAATTAACAGTCTAGACATACCTCAATGTCTCGAATGCCTAGGGTTATTATTTATATACCTCTACATGTTCAATTATTTATGTACACTTATATTTACATTACCTCGGCCACGGTGTTAACAAGGCAAACTTACACAGTACACAAACATTTACCCAAAATATATTATTGTGTGAACAGTTCTAAGTGTATTTCTATTACAGAAGGATGAAGTGTACCTGAACCTGGTGCTGGAGTACATCCCCGAGACCGTGTACAAGGTCGCGCGTCACTACTCCAAAGATGAACAGACCATACCAATTAGTTTTATAAAGGTATTTAGATTAATCGAGATGTGAACATGTAATTTTTCAATATCTATATGTATAAGTTTAAATGTTAGGAGTTTCTACATAGTAACAAGCATTTAATCCAATCAAAATGGGTTTTATCAAATCAATCTATATTTTAAGGACCTTTTTTACGTATATATTTTTTTCTCATATTTTACTTGCGTTCGTACGTTCGAACGTTGTCAAAAATAACTTTAAACAAAAATTATGGTTTGACAGCTTAAACTAGATTTAAGTTTTGATGATTTAGAATATGGGCATTAGTCTGTTTGCTTGAAGTTAATCCAAATTAGCGAAGTCTGAAGTCTGTCTGTTAGATGTGTAATGTCACTTTGTAATTGTCTATGGAAGTCTAGTGTAGACAAAAGTCATATTTTTTTAACGGCAAGTAACAGTGGCGTTTGTGGATGCACTCTGATTTTTTTTACACTATTTGCAATCATAGATATGTAGGTAAAGTTAATTTTATGTTCCCGTAGCAAGAACAAAGTAAAATAGTATGGTTATCGTAATCTTAATATATAAAATTACGTGTCACGTTGTTTGTCCGCTATGGACTCCTAAACTACCGGACCGATATCAATCAAATTTGCACACCGTGTGCAGTTTTATCTTACTTAAAAAATAGGATAGTTTACATCTCAATTTATACCCGCAATATTATTTTATTGCAAAATATTTGTTTATTATTTGATAGTCACAATTCTAACAGATGGCGCTGTGTTGAAAATACCAACGATTCACATAAGCTACAATTTAATGGCATTACCACAAAAAAGCATGGTGGTCCCCATGACTGGTGTTCTCCTACCGTTTCCCTTGAATAGTTTACTACTATGTAATATAACAAAAACCTTAGTCACAGCAACGCTTGGCCGGTCTGCTAGTAGTAATATATTTTTATATTGGAAACTGCAGGTACATATATTGTTCAGTATAACTGTATACAAATAATAGTATATACGAGTACTTGAAAAAAGTATTTCCGCTACATTTTAATAGAAAATACTTTAACGTTGTTTGAAATTCTTTCAGCTATACATGTACCAGTTGTTCAGAAGCCTTGCATACATCCACTCACTGGGCATCTGTCACCGAGACATCAAGCCCCAAAATCTGCTGTTGGACCCCAAAACTGGAGTCCTCAAATTGTGCGACTTTGGGTCAGCAAAGCACTTAGTGAGGGGTGAGCCGAACGTGTCCTACATCTGCTCGAGATATTACCGTGCGCCCGAACTTATCTTTGGAGCTACTGACTACACTACTAAAATTGGTAAGGCTTTGTGAATCCTCACAAAACATTAAGCATTTATTTAACTCAAGATTTCCTTAATTATAACTATATCAGTCTTATTATACTGATTTACTAAGTACTCTCTCTGTCTCTTTCCATCAAATTGTGTTTATGCTATAATGAAAAGGGATAGAGTGTGTGACAGAAATAATATGTATCTTTTACATAATTTATTATGAATTATATACTAAAGATATTTTTTTGGTAATTAAAACGAAAGTGAAGATTGGCTACACTTAAGTACATCTCAATAACACAAAACAGGAGAAAAGTAAAATTAAAAAAGCGAAGCAAAGATGTAAATGGGTGGTCTTACTGCTAAAATCACTCTTCTCTTACTCTCGTCTTACTCCATAAAAGGAGGCTGAAGGGACAACACCCTTTCTGGGGTTATATATAATCAAACGTTACATTGTACAAAAGTAATTTCGACGTTAAATCGAATAACGTTACATAAGTTCCTCTACTACTAGTACTGTCCAAATAAATATTATAAAATTGTGATAGCAATGGTGATGTTTCAGACGTGTGGAGCGCGGGCTGCGTGGTAGCCGAGTTGTTGCTAGGTCAACCAATATTCCCTGGAGATTCGGGAGTTGACCAACTTGTGGAGATCATTAAGGTATTTCAATTTCCTTAGCTATTCCATCAAACTTGATTCTAAGGTTTTGGATTCAAATCCCCGGTAAGAAATACATAATGCAACCAGCCGTTCCCTGCCACGCTTCGCTGTGGCACATTGTGATTGAATGATTGAGAAATGACAAACAAAACAAAGAAAACATTTCATATAAGTTTAATTTTGCAATACTTGTAGAAAAAAAAATCGATCAATGCAGAACTTTTTGAGTTTTTGAAGCGTACACAAACCAACATAACATTTATATATATATATATATATATATTGATTATTGATGTATGACCTCGGTTACTGCTCATAAATCTTGCAGTTAAGTTATCGCTCGCTAGAATAGACTAGCATTTTACTTTCTAAAATTTATTATTAAAAATACGAAAAATATTTGATGTTGCAAATCTCGTCTGTATATTTGGAAATGCAGTTAAAATCTGTTATAACGACATCGAAGGGACTACTCATATTTGTTCGTAAAAACCGATAGTCGTAACAGCCGATGACGTTGTTATTAAGTACCTAATACGATAGAATTCAGCTGAGACCTTTGATTTTGGTCAGTATGACCGGTATGTAGTTCTAAACGATGTCGTCGTAAACGGTTTTGACTGTATGTCGAAATTTTAAGTATTAATGGGTTTCTTACTTTGGGAGCGTTCAAGCATTACGTCACGCAATTTTTGGAGATAATTGTTACGTAATACTTGAACGCTCCCTTTACCAAGTTAGTGCGCCTTTATTATTTCAATTTGCATCTCATGTCATATTCTCGCCTTGACGTCTTTAAATTAAAAGATATTTGACAACTGAGACTAGATTTACGTTTGATTAACAATCTTCCTTCTATTTTATTCATATCTAATCACACAATTATAAAAGTATATCTAATTATTAAATAGCCTATAAGCGTGTTCAAACCCTAAGGACGTGCATATAAATCACGGCTGTGCTCGTAATAAAGTGAAAGTAAACATTGTAAAAAACAATTAGTCTAATATCCAAAAAATATAACAAAAAATTGGAGCCCAACTCAAAGGACCCACTAGATTATTATAAACACATTAAAGACAATCGCTTTGCAGGTCTTGGGTACGCCAACGCGGGAGCAGATTCGCGAAATGAATCCCAACTACACAGAATTCAAATTTCCACAGATCAAGAGTCATCCATGGGCAAAGGTAAATTATATATTTTTATCATATAACTCTATTTGATTGCCAACATACATAACAGCTATATGCCGGATATTATTCTATTTATTGTATGTACTGTAGAACTAAAATTAATTTATTGGTTAAATATTATCGAAACAACTTTTCTTAATGTATATTAACAGAAACGCGTTACTTATAATCTTCATGAAACCTAATCAAAACTTCATAAGAACTAAGGTAACATGCAGTGGCGTAACTATACCATCTGGGGCCCGTGGCAAATTCTTTTGATGGGGCCCTATCAGTAAAAATCGTCTCGTTGAACTCAGTTTAATTTTAATAAAATTCGAGATTTTCAGCGTACTCAATTACACGTTGTTTATGTCCCACTAATGGCCAAAGGACTCCTCTCTTAGGCGAGAGGGAATGGTCTGTAGTCCCAACGCTAGCCCAATACGTATTAGAGACTTCACATTCATCCATAGAACATAATATCTCTTGGGCAGGGGCCCTCTTGGGTCGGGGGCCCGTGGCATTTTGCCAGCCCTGCCATTTTGCCAGCCCTGCCACCCTATTGTTACGCCACTGGTAACATGAATTGACATAAATCTACACAGTGTATGGAGATGCGTTAATTTCGTATAATTGCTGAATAATGAAAATTTACTATAAAGTGTTATAAAGTGATAAAGATGAACATAAGTTTATGAATAAATGCAATAATTATTATTAAAATAAATTGCGTTGAGATCAAGTGGGGCCAATTATACAATAACTTGTAATGGTAGCAATACTATTCAACTTCGTTTAAAGAGTTTATTACCAGTTCTTTCTTAGTCCCTTGAATTGTCTGTAAACGTAACAACTGTTATGTTTTTGATCTTAATAAGTGTACATATGATTTGATAAACACTTAAAACAAATGACTGCTACTAATACAAAGTAAAATTCACATAGTCGCGTACTTACAGCATTTGTTGGAGCGAATGACGATGCCCAAGTCACCCACTGACCACCAGCGTATCAGAGTAAGGCACCGCTAACAAAAACTAAATGACGACATTATGTTTCCTATATGTTGTGTTTTATATTGATATTTTTGTAAATAAAGTATTGAAATTTTTGTAAAAATCAGTTAACAGTTTTGTGCAAAGAATATAAAACGATCAGAAATTTATGGCAGATCAAATACTAACTTTTAGTACAAGTACAAAATTTTGTTAGGAGATAACATCACACACTGAGAAGCTTGTGAGATGTTTGTCTTCGTTTAAAAAATGCTTTTATGTATAGGATATTTGATTTAAAAAATCCATTCCTATAATTAATGTCGGCGTTTAGTCTTATTCGCAGTTTGACGAACTTCAATTGTTTCTTTTATTATCTTATCTTTTAAATTAAATCAGTTATATTCTAAATTTCACTATGCAGTATTTATCAGAGACGAGTACTATTAAAGCAAATAGCAGAATTAGTTATGTGAATTAGGTGGTTATTATGTACCTGAGTACGTCAGAATGCGAAGTATTTTGAAATAAAGATACCTCGGCATGTATTAGGGTTGCCACAAAGTAAATAAAGTATTTATACTGGTACTTTATTTCAAACTCCCAAGTGCCAACCCTACTTTTGACTAATAGAATCTACTGATTACTGTCGGTGTTCTGAGTGGTGAGGCGTGCGTGTTCTCTGCAACATATACAAATTAAATCGAGTTCAAAATTAAAGTCTAACCCAATTTGAAGTCAGTTGACATTTCTAACATTTAAAATAACACTATCTGTACATACATATTTCACTTTAGAGTTCATGATTGCACCACGCTAATAAAATCTGTTTTAACGTTTTCCAGTTTTCTAATAATTATGCCTTTTTTTTAAATATTAGGAATTAAATAGCAGGACACAAAATTTCATATGATTTTTCACATAGAAGTTAGGCAAAATGTCATTAACAATTTGTCTATAAGCCTTAGGCTATTCTATAGAATTTATGATTATTCTTGTATGGACCAAGGTGCTCTTCTGAGGTTTTTAAAATCTGTAGATACTTTTAAATTAATAAATTAAACAGTAAGAGATTAATGACTTGAACTGTTGGAAGATAAATATTTAGCTAGCTTTAAATTTGAATAATTTCAATTCTTTACACAAAATGATATCGGCAATCAATCTTAGATGTGGTGTAAGAGATTTTGTAAATTTAAACGAAATTTACTTCACTTCAGAACAACTTCACTATAATTTAATTGATATAGTAAATTTTATAACTTTTAATCTAATTGGTCATTACATATTTATCCTGTTAACTATAAAAATATTATAGAATTCCTTACATATTGGGATTCAGCGTATAATTGTACTATATGTAACTATAACTTAATATGTACTAATCAGTTGTATTACGCATAGATTATGTAAATTGGTATTGAAATTAAGAATAATGTATGTCTTTGAATTGAAATTTTTTTCGTTGATAGGTCCTATACAAATTTTCAGATTGACGTTTAATGTTATAATAGAATAGGAGCGGGTGGGTGTGTTAGGCGCGAAACATACAGAAAAGGCGTAAGGTGAAGGCGCGGCGCAGGCGCAGAGCCGGTGTGGAACAGATAAGGCACGGATGCGACTTAAATTATATCAAAGAGGCTAAGAGACGGCACAAAGAGTCATTACGCAGGCTGACTTTATCGTGATAGCATGTCTTCCTCTTCAGATGACGAAGATGCGCTCGCTTTGATGCGAACAGGCGACGACACGACGTGCCTGTGCCACGCCGCTTGAGTACATTTTGTATTGACGCGTTTTGAAGCGACAAGATGCCTGCGCCGCACCTTCACCTTACGCCTTTTCTGTGTGTTACGTGACTTAGATAGCGTACCAAATATTGTTTGGTAGTCGTACCTTCTCACCTCTCAACCGCTAACAATATTGTATACATATTCCCTATACCCTATTAAACTTTATACATCACACATTTTAGGTGTTCCGTGCGTGCACACCACCGGACGCAATATCGCTAGTTTCACGTCTGTTAGAATATACGCCCGGCGCGCGTCTCTCTCCACTCCAGGCGTGCGCTCACAGTTTCTTTGACGAATTGCGTGAAGCGAGCGCAAGACTTCCCAACGGACGTCCTTTACCACCGTTATTCAACTTTACGGATTACGAGTTGTCTATTCAGCCTTCGTTAAATGACTTCTTGAAGCCACGCGCAGCTGCTACACCGCATGAAGCTGCGGCTACTACGCATGAACATGACGCCCATGGTGAGTTTAATTGCTTCCAAGAAGTGGTTTTATTGGTGGCACAGATCACATAGGTGTTTCGTGCGGCAGAATATGCGAACTTACGATTGTACCACCTTACACATTTTTGTACCATATTCTTGCAATAAATTATTATTATTATTATTAAAAATAAAAGTATTTACATAACATAATGATATTATATTTCATTAAAATTATTAAATATGACTCTTTGATTACGAAAACTTGGTTTGCTCAAGTTTTCGTAATACACTTACTCATGCGCGAAATATATTTTTTGACATGCAACTTTTAATTAGGTAATCTTACTTGCTTTATGCCGCCAAATCAAGGAGGAATCTGTTTTTGTTGATTATTTTATTTGATTTATTAATAAACCGTAATTTTTTTTAAATTTCAAATTAAGTTTTGATAAATGTACAATTGTAGGTGAAAATGCAGCAGCGAGCGGCACCAGCGGCGGCTCCCCTAGCGCATCGTAGACACACATTTGACGAGCGTCGCCTACGTAAATACAACCAATAGCCGTTAATTATAAATCGCTTTGAGGCTATCTGCCCTGGCCCAAAATTTTTATATACTAGCCATTTTTACACCCTTTGCCAAACATTAAATTAGCGTTTTCTTAAAATTTTGATAACCAATATAGCATCGTCGTAAATTATTCATGTTTCTGAATAATACAAAAAACTATGATTCCAAATTGATTCAATTTTATTTATACAAATCCGTAAACTACTTTTTTACTCCATGATAGTGACAGCAGATTATAAATTTGAATCAGTCATTGGTTATATATAAGACAACTAGGAACAATGTCATTGTGTCAAATGTCAAATGTATTCATATTCGTTCGAGTAAATTTCTACTCTGTGAACTATTTTTGATCAAAAATACGACGAAATACGGGCTACTGTGTGCGTCAATCAAGTGTTACCTTGACCGACAGTGTTGCAAATTGACAAATTTTAAAATTACAATTAATTTAGTAATTACAGCTTATCACAATTTAATTTTTTTGACGAAGTATAAAAATGGGCAAATCTGTGTCAGAGTAGCCTCAATTTGATTTGTAGTTGCTTTGCTAGAGGTGTTGTGTCGCTTATTGTATGTTGCGGATAGAGGTCGAAAATTTGTACTAAAAGCGAGTGTATAATGCACAGACAACATAAGTGAATATATTTTTCAGCTGTTAAATTTAATGGGTACTAAATGTTTATGAAATATAATTTGTTCGCTTAAACGTAAATTACAAAGCTGTCTGTGTGTTTCCTCGCTCGGAATTTAGATCGAGAATCGTTTGTACGCTAATTAGTGATAGTTATTTTTTGTGTTGGCCATCGGGAAATTTTAATGCATAATAGGTGTGACGTAGCGTATTTCGATAAAGCTTGGCATAGTCGGTAAACGCCTATTATATTATGCAATTTTTTGTTTCCTCTTGCACAGATTACTGAGCTATTCCTGTGTGGCATTGTCTCTTTCTAACATAACTAACAGGAAAGAGATGGATGCTCAGTACGTGTATGAGTATGGGACCATGAATTGGGTAATATAATGGGCATATTAGGAGGATAAATTTGTAGTGACCCGGTATATTACTTTGTACTTTTGTAAGCTCAAAACTACGTTGTGTACATACCTCTATACTCGATTCCGAAAGTTGGTTAACGACAGATTGTCATCTGGATTTATTTTGTATATTCTAAAATTGTGCGCTAGATTAAGAGCTTTTAGCTACGTATTGAATTTCAATACTGTATCCAAGAACGCTTTCGACTTAGAGATCACGGAACAAAAACATATTAGTGGTCTAAAGGTTCCAATAGAAGACTTGAAATTGTTTTATTATTACTTTATTAGTATATTAAAATATGTAAGACACGTATTCCAAAATATAAATCAAACTTAAATTTGTATAAGAGTTATCAAACTACTTTTGTAGGCTAACTAGTAGCTAATGAAATGCTAAAAAACTCATAAAAGTTGCCAGTTTGGAACCAAATTTTCGATTGATTTACATTTTTGACTACGGGCCTTTAAGCTTTTGATGTACAACTAAGCGGTGTTGACAATTCTATGCGTTTTTGTAAGTCCTTTTTGGTTACGTAAACTACGAAGGTAGGTAATTATTTCCGCTTGAGCTGTAGCCCGTAGAGTAATTGCATACACTGTCGAACGTACAGACACGTAGTTACGTGCATTTGACCGTCAACAGTATCTCGCTCACGTACTGTCAACTGTCAAAAGTACAGAGAAAGGTTCGCGTATTGTTATTTGTCAAAACGTCACAAACACGTAATTATGTGCTTATTAACTGAAGAACGTGATTTGCACACACGTACTTGCTTATCGACTTGGCAGACAATTATTTCATCGCATACAATGGCATTGTAAATTTTTATGATTAGCGTCTACTGATCTCTCAAATAATTTTAATAATTAATAATGTCTCAGAATATTTTCTATTGTATAAACGATTCAAAGATTCAATAGATATTTGTTTAACGTAGCGACTTCTATTTCTTTCGCAGATTATCTTCTGGATAAATAATGTATATTGCACTGTCTGTGTCCTATTGTGACGTCATAGTTTTTCGATATTGTATTCTATAAAATAATCGATACATATTTCTGCTGTGTAAAGTTTATCATTGGAAACACTATATAAGTAGTCATTTATGAGGTAATATTAAATTCATCGTCATAGTGTTAAGTAAGGGCGATTTCGTTTTGCGCTTCGGAGCTGGCGTGTTACAAATTAGGGGAGGTTTAAGCCTTTTAATATAAAGTAACGAACTCTTTTATTCATGGTTTAGATGTAGCTTTAATTCAAATAACCTTGGGTGTGATTTTTCACCGTTATTTTTCATTAGTGAATAGTATTTGTACAAATTCGGCGGAAAGTAGCGAATTTGTAAGCGGGTCTAGTACGAACCTGGGAAGTCATGTATTGTTGACGATTTATTTTGTATCTATATCTACAGACCTGCGTACTATAATGAACATCAGTTGATTCCCGTCAAACCCATACGGCCTCCGCCAAGTATATAATACACCTGTATTACTATTATGTATGTACGTACGTATAAATTTATAGTATATTAGGAATGTAACGCGCTCGGCGCAGATTTCAAATCACACATAGTGGAGCTTAGTTTTCGTCCCTAAGGCTATTGATTTGCTGACACACCTTTATAATTCGTGTAAATATATTATTATAATTATTATCTTTATGGTATGACTCTTGAGTAAAGTTAATCGGTAGAAGGATTCGCCCGCTCTTACAATTAGCAGCCTCGAGCGAATTCACGCAAGAGACGTGTTCGGTAAGGGCAGCGATAGGTTAGATACACACTGTATTTTATTAAGTCTACCTATTATGAATTTTGTAATCGACGTTGCTTCTAAAGACCCTCTGTGTAAAAAGTTAAGACACACTAGTGACCTGATTTTTGAAGCGATGTTTCTGGAAAATTTGAACCCGTTTAAATTGTCACTTTCACGATTTACGTGCACTTTTACTACTCGAGAATTTTCAGAAATACATACTTCGAAATGGGGTTGACTTATATAAATTATTTAAAGTAAAAGAGTTTTTCTTATTACTAGTACTGTAATATTAAATTTAATAGTGAGTGAAATTTGTATTTTGTTTTAATTTGATTTACTGAATTTGAATACATCGTAACACCCATATCGTTGTTAGTTATGAATGAAATAACATAATTATAAAAGTAAATATTAAATGAATAGTAACATGGCTTTTTATTTTAAAATCCTTCCTATCCTTTTGTTTAAAATATAAAACCAGTTATTACAATAAGTGGTTTCTTTTGCTAAAGTATACAAGTGAACATTTACATTTTTCTATAATGCAAATTGAGAATATAATTAAATTAATCCTCTAAATTCTTAGTCATTTGCTATGTATGCGTTCTGCCGTTAATGACGATGATTTTAAGTGATTTTAATGATTTTAGAATTTGCTTTAAAATTAATCATAAATATATATTAAGTAAAGGAAACATTAACTAAAACATGTTTGTCTCTTACGTTAAATGCAATTTTACTATAGAAAGAAAGATAAAAAAAATATATTTGACGCTATAATACATAAAATGCCCAACATAAATATGATCATAATAGATTCATAGATTTTTTATAATATCTCTCCTCGCAACAGATCATAAGACTGATATAATCTCTTCAAAAAAATCTTCAGACTGACTGCGATTGAGTTTTACGTTATGGGGGTGACTTTGACAGGCTAATTATCTAGTTTGTTTTCATAATTCATATGTTGTCAATAGTCAATTCTCTACACAGTAGTTCACAGTACACCCACTTTTTGTTTTGCCTTTTGTATTTTGAAAATAAAAATAATAATTTATTTAAATAATACGAAGTCATGAAAATGTGGCATAAATTGTAATCAGTGTTACGTGAAGGTTCCTATCTATATCTCATAAAGATATTAATAAGAATATTTGTAAAAAGAAAATTAAATAAATATATAATTTATAAATTAAAAATGCACGAAGCTTACGAAGTTACACATTTACTGAATGCATCAGTGCAAATAGAAACAATAGCTGCTTATGGTTAGTATCACTAGTTTGCAGTATCGTTCATATATACATTATAATTGTTGGTCTTCTCTAGAAGATAATATATAGCCCCGAATTCTCTGGAACCTATTCTCTACTTATTTCTAATTTTAAAGAGCTCTCCAAGTCGACCAGGTATAGCCAGTGCCAGCGCCAGCTTTGGTTGTAGTAGTATTTTTTTCTATACAATTCGGATTACTTTTTATGGACAAGAACTAGAAGAAACATAGCGTGTATGACTTTTTAACTTTGCATTTAAACTGTATATGGTATGACAAGATTCTTTCTTAATTTGTTCTTATAGATGGTAACCTGTTGCTGGGAACACGACAGGGACATCTCTTAATGTATTCATTATTAATGAACAAAGACACACAAAAGTATGAATTGAAAATGATTAGATACTGTAAAAACTTTAGTAAGAAACCAATACAACAGATAGAAGTTATTGCAGGTAAAGTCTTGATGGTAATGTATTGAATACAGTTAATTAAATTTTTCTACTGCCTTCCTTATTTTCTTTACTACAACTGCAATTTACCACATTTTTGCATAACCACATCCTCCTACTCACAATGGATGCATTTAGTCTTACATCATGCAAAAAAAAAGGCTACTTGCCTTTGAGAAGTAGCTCAGCACATGTTATGCACTAAGTATAATTTGTTTATATACTAAACATTTTGTCATATATAAATAACATTTGGTATTTCCTATGACCATAAAAAAGTCTTTGTAAATACTGCTTGTAAATTAAAACCAGATAATATTTTTTCAGAGGATAAATTACTGTTATGTCTCACGGATAATGTGCTTTCATCTTATGATATGAATGGCCTTAACTTTCCCTTGGTGAAGACATTTTCAGATACCAAAGGTGCATCTCTGTTTGCCCTAGACAATAAGGTAAAACATTTTTGTGATACCAGCATATGTAGTGGCTATACTCAACATACTCCTTGAGATCCTTCACAAATTTTAAATTATTGTTGAAAGGTTGATAATTGATAAATATTACTATTATTTACAAATTAATTGCTTATGTTGTACATTTACAATTAAAAACTACTTATATGATGTTAATGTAGTTTATATCTCTCATTATATTTTTTTTCCTTTGATTATTGTTTTTTTGTGTGTTTTTGTTAGTAATAAATGTTATGTCTTTGTCTATGATAGCAAATTATACCATTAGGCTTTACCATTATGTATTGTTACATACATACCTTAATTATTCTAATATTAATTTTGTTCGTCAATAAAAATGTTTTTTGTAATAAGTATTGTATTTATTTCAGTCAGCTACATCAATGACTGGTGAATCAAATACAATAGTACATTTATGTGTGGCTGTAAGAAGAAAATTGCAACTATATTATGGTAAAAATGGAGAGTTCAAAAAACATATCTTTGACTTCACAATACCTGATGTACCAAAAGTGATGGCTTTGGGTCAACAGTATCTTTGTGTAGGGTTCAAAGGCGAATATACATTTTTTGATGTAAGTTTTATTAACTAATTTACTCCTTTTCTATGAGTGCCATATTGCAAAGCAAATACATTATACATATTTAATAAAACAGACTAAAACTTCATTCAGTACAAAACTGAGAGGGATCCCTTTTGGTTAATATTTAATGCAAAATTATACAATTATATAAGAAATAAGAGGATGACCAAGGGAAAAACAAAATCTATGGTTTTTGAAAGAGGTAAGTGTGTGTGAGGCAAAAGGGTAGGACTGTATGTGATATTCCGATAGATGGAAAAAAAAGTGGTTAACTTAGGGTCGTAGCGTGTATGTTTACTTTGGATGGAAAGTATGATGATGATATAGAAAGACCGGTAAATGCTGGAAAAAGAGTAAATGAGGTGTTTAATCTCCTCTATGTGTAGCCAAAAAATCTCTAATGAGGCTCATCTGGCCCATGGTAGTGGCTTTTGGTCAGTTTGGAGAAAGGAAACTAGGGAAAATTAGCGTGCAAAAGCTTGGTGTGCTCAACGCAAGGCCAAAATATCTTTATTCACAAGGGCCACCGCTTACAAATGCAAACTAAATCATCACCAGTTCGCAAGTGGGCTGGGACGGTAAGAAAACGGACAAAAACCTTCCCCCCCTTTTTTAATGGCCAAATATTTGTTATATTTTATTTTTTTGAAAAGGGCAACCCAACCCCCAGGTTTTTTTTCTTTTTTTTTTTTTAGATTTGATTGGGGGGGGGGGGGGTGGGTTTGGTTTTTTTTTTTTTTTTTTCCCCCCCCCCAGGTAATTCTAATAATAATTTTCTTACAGTTATCATCACATAATTCAACGGACTTATTCCCTCCAAGTAGTTCAAAATCCTTGGACCCAACAATAGCTAAATATTCTGAAACATCCTTTCTACTTGGCCGAGATAACACCTCAGTTTTAGTGGAAGAAGCCAAAAAGAAGTCTTCTGAAATTAAAAAGACAATGAAAAGGATTGACGACCCAACAATCTCTAAATATTCAGAGTCATCTTTCCTACTTGGACGTGATAACACTTCAGGTGAAGTGGAAGACGCTAAACAAGAGACGGTTGAAATTAAAAAGACAATAAAATGGACTGATGCACCACTTGCAGTTGGTAAATTTTTTTTTTTAATGTTAATTTTTACTTTATTTATAATTTGTTTTATATTATCACATGCTAAGGTAATGGCCCTCCTTCCGTACTGATTTTAAAATTCTAAAAGAAACTCATTAGAAACTTATATGTTGTTGCTTACAATTGAGTGTTTTTTTCTATGATATTGGTTAAGTGGCATAGGGAGCGTTCAAGTATTACGTCACGCAATTTTTGGAGATTATTGACCCCCCCTCCCCGTGTAACGTGCCATAACGTTTTTCTGTACCCAAGTATAGTAAAACGTTTCGTGACCACCTAGTGACTCTTTATACCTAAAAGATACCATTATATGGTGTAAAGTACTGGAAAGTCGAATAATATTAATAATAACGCGTAATTCAATCCCGCCCCGCATCGTAACGTTGTACAAAAGGGACACCCCCCTCCAAAATTCGTTACGTAATACTTGAACGCTCCCATAGTTAGATTGTTATTTTTGCCTGTCCTGTCATTGCCTAAAAGTATTCTATATTCATTTCTAGATTACATCTACCTATATACACAAATATTTAAATTTATCAAAAAGTTATTCCTAAGACGTCACAGATTTATATTAGTACTTTGTCGTTTTGTTACCTAAAAAATTGTCAAAACTGTGTTATTGTTTTTCTTTTAATGTTATCTGGTTTCCACTTTTTTATTATATATATTGTCTGTTCAATTAGACATCATGGAACATTACGATCTAGCCTAACTATATGGATATATAACATAAGAAAGTGTCCAATAACACTACTTACAGTCTCTATTAAAGGGAAGACACTCTGTTCTTGTGTTCTATTTGTTCACTTACCACTATTTCCACTAAATGCCAAATATTGCATATTCCAGTTTGGGATGAACCCTTCATTCTGGGTTTGCTACAAGACACCGTTGTAGTGCAAACAGTTGAACCGCCTCTCTTCATACAAACGTTTGTTGAATTGAATAAAGCAAGACTTATGTACAGGTGAGAGGTCTTATGGCTTAAAAAGTAATTAACATGTGATTATATGATAGATATATTACAATGTTGTGAGCAGTGTTGGTCTTGTGGCTTGAGCGTGCCCTTGAAGGTTGACGTACGTACGTACGCTGAAGGAGTACGTTTTAGGAATCGTATCTTGAACTCAAAAATCGACGGACTGTGTCAAGCACAGAAGACCTTCTGGTTTATTACGTTAAAATTATCACAATATAGATATACACATCTGAAGGCAAGAGCGTAGGTCGTAGTGCCACTGGTTTCTTTTTATTATTGCGGATTTTTTCGAACAATTTTTTTTAAATGGAATTCGAACACGGTTAAATATCAAATTTATTTTACTTTTCATATCAAGCTTTTTATTGGTTCTGCAAATTTTTTGAAACATTTACTTAACCGGATTTTTTATGAGTTTATTTCATATATCGCTATTTATAAGCATTGCAACTTTTTAATATCTTCGATATTTATTAATTTTGTTTATCTAATATTACTTAATTCTTCTTATAAACTTTTAATAAGACACTTTACCAGATTAAAACGCATATAAATGTAGTATAATTTGTCTACCAAATTGATTTTCCAATTTTTTTTTTTTTTTAAAGACAATTCACACCAATTGACCTAGTCCCATGCTAAGCTGGTGAAGCTTGTGTTATGGGTACTAGGCAACGGATATACATACATATTATACATAGATAGACATATAAATACATATTTAAACACCCAAGACCTAAGCACAACAACAAATGCTCATCACATCGATGTTCGTCTCAGCCGGGGATCGAACCCGGGACCCATGGTTTCGCAGTCAGGGGTACTAACCACTAGACCAATGAGTCGTCAAATACACTTAATAATAATGCCTTTTTTATTTCCATATCGTTATGTTCCATTTTGAATGTTGTTAGTAGGTATTAGTAGCAATATGTTAGTCGCCTGTGGATATTGACCCCTCTTGGGTAAAGGCCTCGTCCAACCCTATCCAGATGTCTCTGATCTTTGCCAATAGTCTGCCAGTCGTTTCCTGCTATTTCTACAAGTCATCAGCCCACCTTCTTTTTGGCCTGTCTACTCTTAAAGCAAGCTTATGTCAGCTTTCTGTAGAACCCGAAAAATGTTCGAGATCGAACCCGGGATCTCCAATACATACTTAATTAATTTAAAATATTATTTATAATTATTATTAATTATTTTCAGATGTAAGCGTGGTCTGATATTTGTTTCATCTGTGGGTCAAGTTTGGTGTCTAACTTCTGTAGATATCACAAAACAAAGGAAACAGTTGCTGAAAGACAAGCACTTTCAAATTGCGATAGATTTAATGGTGAGTAATAAAAAAAAACTAAATTAAAGTAAGTATTAGTAGTAAGTAAGTGACAACTAGCGATAATAAAAAAAAAAAATCGCATGTAGGATTCGGGTTCAACGCTTAAAATTACTATGTCCGGTTGCCATTGCCAGTCAAATTATTTGGTGAATTGAACACGTTTCGATGAAATTTTAATACAGATAAATGGCAATACTGATCAGACTTCACTTGGAAGATTTTTTATAATTACAAATGTAGAATTATGATATAAGCAAGTCTTATAAAGTCAAACAAGTATTTCTATGTTGTACCATATGTGATATATGAGTCTATTCATGATGATCTTACAAATTCCCTACGTATTTATAAAAGCATAATTTTTTTACGCTTAACACCTTGATGGCCGGAAGTCTTCCACTTTAGACATTTTCTTATGCGAACTAGTGAACTGTGTAATCGACTTCCGGTATTCCGAATTTTCCGGTGGGGGTCTACTCTAGGAGATACGATTTCCAATCGTTTAAAAAAAGTGTATACTCCTCCCTCAAAGGCAGGCAACGCACCTACTACTAATGGGTGCCTATGGGCTGCGATGATTGCCCTTTTGGGCGTCCCGAAGGATCGTTTGCCCGCTTTCCTATATTTTTTTTCCTTTTGCGACAGACAGAGTTGTATTAGCTATTAATATAAAAAAAAGGCAAGTATAAGTTCTTATAATTTTGCACTTACTGCAGATCTTAAAAAAATCTTAATTTTAAAATGGGTGTGTTTTGTTTCTGACTATCATTATATGTTGTAAGATATGATTATGGTGCTGCGACTGTCAAATAAATGTTACTTATAGTTTATTTATTTCGTAATCAAAGCAGCTCACTTAATAATGTAAAACAAAAAAATTGGAAGATATAGCCAAAGTTTTTAAAGTAAACAAGCCAACTATCAATCCATAAATCAAAGTTACGCTAATTAACGAAATAAATTAATTAGCCTATGTTTTTGGATGAGGAAAACGTTTAGATATCGCAGTTGATCAACGTTCGTTAAACAAAATGTTTCATTTTAAAGTCAAAAAACGTCAAGTTCAAATTATTCATCTTTTAAACGTAAGATTTTTTTACCTTTATGTTAAGTGATCGTTTGTATTTTAGATTATTTATTTAAAAAAATAAAGTGGGTTTATTCGTGATAAACAATGCATTATTAAGTGTAAGATTTAAGACACCTTTTAAGTAGACAATACCAGTGTCAGGCTTCCCAGCTCTTACTTACTCTTTCTTCTTCGCTCTGACGAGTAACACCGTAAGACGTATTTTATTGTTATTAAAAACTAACTGATCTGTTATTACAATTGGTTCAGTTAGAAACGAGATATTTTTATATTCCAAATAAGGGAGCGTTCAAGTATTACGTCACGCAATTTTTGGAGATTCTTGATCCCCCCTCCCCTATGTAACGCGCTGTAACGTTTTTCTGTACCCAAGTATAGTAAAAAGTTTCGTGACTACCCAGTCCACCTCTTTATACCTAAAAGTTACCATTATGTGCTGTAAAGTACTGGAAAGTCGAAAATAATATTAACAATAACGTGTAATTCAATCCCCGCCCCGCATCGTAACGTTTTACAAGTGGGAAAATTTGTTACATAATACTTGAACCCTCCCTAAAAACAGAAACCGCAGGCTCGTTCGCTCATCACATAGAACCTTTTTGATAAAACTTTTATTTCCAGAAACTATCAGATAGTTCGCCAGAAGAAAAGAAGCAAACCATTGATTCTATACAAATGCTGCACGCACTCGACCTATTTGACAGCAAACAATATTCGCAATCTATGAAAGAATTCATCAAACTAAAAACAGACCCAGCTGAAGTCATAAAACTAATTCCAGAGTTAGACAATAAATTTGAGGGAAAAGAAAATGTTTTGAAAGGGAAAGATTTAGAGAACGCCTTAAACGCATTGATAGAGTATTTGGTGGAACTAAGATTTCAAATTGGGACGAACACGGAAGGTTCCAGTAAGAGTGAATCTAATCAGCGGAATGTGGCCCAACAGTTGGAGTTGATCGATACAACTCTGCTGAAATGCTATTTACAGGTATATATTATTAACAAATTATGTAATATTCTGCAGATATTATAAAATACCTTCATTACATTCATTTTAGCACAAATAACCAAATAATCGACTCCCAGTGGGAGTCTTCCCTCAGAGATACGACCTCCAAATGTTTAAAAATCTAGTGTCCCCCTCAAAGGCCGGCAACGCACCCACTAAAAATGGGTTTCTATGGGGTGCCCCCCTATTATATAAAAAAAAAACACAAATGTAAGAGTACTTTCACATCGACTCTAGGTACTCTTATCATAAAATAAAAATTAACTTAAAAATTCGCGTGATCAAAGTGTGGTAGCTTTTGCGCACAACTTCATTTTTAAATTACTTAACACGTTTTAAACGTCGACACCAAAGAATTCAGCTTTTAAATGAACTTCAATATTTCTGTCCTTTTGTAATAATTATTTTGGTTTAAGAATAACTTTATTTCTCATAAGAATTGCATACAAAATTCACTTACTGAGAAACACATATTTAAAACTAAGATTAAAAATTAGAGCGCACAGATGTAGGTACATATTATATAAAATAAGAAAACAGAACAGCACCAAAAATGTGTGTAGACATAAAAAACTTGGTCAGTCAACCAAGCGAAACACGGATTATGTATAAAAATAACTAAAATAATTTATTTATGACTAACTATACACTACTCAAATGTATATGTCGTGGGCTTATCGTTAGATTGGCCAGATCGAGATATGCCCAGGCAGAACGTGATACTCCGGCACATCATGATCTGGCCATCCAACACAGGGCATATCGTTCAACACTTAACGTTTGGCGATTTGGCCAGAGATACTTTAGGCATATCGATTATGTAGGGTGTCCAAGGTTTTAGCAAATAAAAATAAAGTTAAGAATTAAAATGTTTATTAAAATTGAAAATAATTATTGTTATGAAGCTCTAACTTAACATTATTTTTTAAAATTCCAAATGTGGCACATAGAATCACAGTTCTTTGGAGAGAAAATAACAAAACGCCTATTTGAGGCAAATAAAATATGTATATAAACAGTAAGGTTTAATAAAATGTTAACACAGCCATCACGTAGAAAACGGCACGTACGAGCAACAGCTAGAATTAAATGAAAATGTTAAAAAATAATGAATAACATTAAAAATGAGTTATTTAAATAATAAAGTGTAACTAAATAATCAGACTCATTAATCAGTTGAAAACAAACTTATATTAATAGGAACGTCAAATAGTTTTTCAAAGAATAGTTACCTATTATTTGTTATTAAATATGACAAACATTAATAACATCGTCAAAAAATTCTAAAAATGGCACATTCAATCACAGCCCTTTGGTAATAAAATAAGATAACAAACCAAACGTTCGTAACATTTAAATACCTAAAAAATCTTTAGAAATAGGTAATACAACCCGACAACCGCCATGCAGAAAAGAAATTAAATTAAAAAATGTTTATAAACATTAAATAGGTACCTACTTAAAAAGTGTTCCTCAATCAGACTAACAACAGACTTAATCAGTTGAAAATAAACTTTGTATTGAATATTAAAGGAAAGTCAAATTTTTTTGAGATATCTATCATTTGTTGATGCATGATATACTTTGATGACATTTTGAAGTGCAGAGAACATTATTCTTATAACATGCACACCTTTTGGTGTGACATTGATTTCTGGCAGGCCTGCAGGAGCATTTCTGGAAACCTTGACCTCCAAACATGGACTGACATGTGACTGCATGACGCAATGTTATAAATGATTCAGAAATGTCTCCATTATAATCTTTGGCTGAAATTTGTAATTCTTGTCTCGGGAACCAGTTTTTTATTGTTCCAGAAGTAGTACCAATTTTAAATACACCATTCCTAATGTCAACAATTTTACCTGCGATGTTCTTGGTATCAAGTGGTCCACGATCAAATTTTGGAACATTTATCAAGACGCTATTACCAACTTCTAATAACGGAAGCTTTTTTGACTGTTTGGTCAATCATTTTTCTGCAGCCCGTTTGGTACCTTTAAGAGTTTGTGCTCTTTCTTTTGCTTCTTGTTCTCTTTGCATATGAAACATAAAATCTGAGACCCGTAACCTTCTTCACCGTCAGTGAGACCACATATAACGTGAACTGGTTTAAAGCACGATCTACAACTATGAGCTCCAGTTGTTTCTTTGGTACAAACCAAACAAATCTGCGTATTGCAGTCGGCTTTCTTAGTCGTTAGTGACGTGTCGCTACTGGCTGAAACCCCTTGAATTGAAACGACAAAAACATCTTTGCTAGTAGAAGCTCTGTTAACAGTTTGCAAAGCTAAATCTTCTATACAGGACGTATCATTTCTGGGTGAACAATTAGTTGCTTCAAGTTTTTGTTCGGCGGTTTCAATATTTTCTATTTTCAGTCTTGATTGGCAAGCGCCGTTGCCAATTTACACTTGTTAGGACGTTCTGTACACTTAATGTTTTAGGAACATTTATTTCGGCCGAAACCATCTCAACATCAAGCGTTAGTGCTTTACTACTTAAGCCATCAACATTTGTCCCTTCAGGCAAATTATCTCCATCGAGGTTGTCGTAATATTCATCTTTTCAGTTTCAATAGATGAAATAACACTGTCTGCGATATTGGCAGGCGCCGGTGCCGCATTTATACATGTTGGGGCATCCTGTACACTTAATGCTTCAGAAATATTCACTTTGGCCGAAACCATCTCATCATCAAGCGTTAGTGCTTTACTACTTAAGCCATCAACATTTGTCCCTTCAGGCAAGATTATCTCCATCGAAGTTGTCGTAGTATTCTTCTTTCAGTTTGAATAGATGAAATAACACTGTCCGGGATATTAGTACCTTTCAGTAATGTTTTGGGGTCAGAACCGAACAAGGCACGATAGGGTGATCTACCAATTATACGATGAAAAGATGAATTTTTATAATACTGTACGAAGTAGCAACCCACAGACCAATTAGCAGAATCATTATCTTTCATCCAACAACGCAACATGTTTTCTACGTCTTGGTTGCTACGTTCGACGCTTCCTTGCGTTTGAGGACGTCTAGGGCCTCCATGAACGATCTTGCATTCTGGCCACAACTGCACAAGTTCTTCAATGACATGAGCTGTAAACTCTTTCCCATTATCAGATTGTAAAATTAATGGTGCACCAAACTCCAAAAATATTTTAAATAGTTCAAACGCCACCTCCACAGCCCTCTTAGATTTCAATGGCCTCAAGTGTAGAAACTTGGTAGCATGGTCCTGATAATTCATTAACCACTTGTATTCCCCCGTCCGGAGCTGATTGTAAATCAATAAGGTCTACCTGACCTCGTGAGTTGAAATCTGGTGATATAATTGGTTTTGTCACTATACCTTTTTTTGGCATGGAACGTTTCATTTCACACACTGCACACAATTTAATGTATATTTCTATAGCTTTTTTCGGTATGTGAAATTTGTTTTTAATACTATATATCATTTTTTCTCTGCCACCATGCCCAACAGCTTTGTGAACTTCTGTTAATATATCAAAATATTCATCTACGGCGACTATGCGCACTGTAGGATCATCGGCAGTTTTTCTTTTGAAAATTAAGTAATCTTTGTCAGAAGTTTCCATGACATCATATTTTGCACTCCAATAATAGTCCGAAGAGACCCGCTGCATGGTCACCCTACTTCTTTTTATTTGTTCAATAACCTAAAAAATAAAATGGAACTTTAGCGTACAAACATTAGTTACTTAATCAATCTAAGAATTTTAATACATAATGACATGAGAGAAACGCATCACCTACACATTATTATGCAAAAATAAACACTTGTTTATCAACTAAATACTAACCTCTAAAATACGTTGAGAAGTCCATGGTTTTTTACATTGTGCGAAGAATCTTTATGTCCCTCATAGAAATCAAGTAACTGATGGTAATATTGTTCTTTAAATGCACTTTTGTTTCGTTTTCACTGTTCATTTTGATAATATCAACACCACATTCACTTGTTTGTAACGCCGCCATCTTCCGCTCGCGTAAACAAAGCCGAGCGCGCGAAGACAGCGGAATATCGACAAATACGTTATTCTCGTCGATCTGCCCAACCTTTTACTTGGCGCATCGCGATATGCCCGGCCGAATCATGATGTGCCGGCGTTTCAAGAAGTGCCCGGGCATATCTCGATCTGGCCAATCTAACGATAAGCCCACGACATATATAACATAATATTACAGGCCGAGATACACATTTCAATATTGAATACACAAAAACATATTTATTACGATACATACTTGTTACGTTGGAAACTGTTTGGTAATTAAATCTAATATCTTAGTTATTACTTATGCTGTATGCATAAATTAAATGTTTATTTCATATTTTCTTCAGACGAACGATGCATTCGTGGCCCCACTCCTCCGTCTAAACAACTGCAGATTAGAGGAAGCCGAGAAGACGTTGCACCAACACGGAAAGCACAGTGAGCTGATCATCCTCTATCAGACGAAGGGACAGCATACAAAGGCTCTGCAGTTGTTGAGAGAGCAGGCATCACAACCAGATTCAAGTCTTAAGGGATATCATAGGACCAAGAACTACTTACAACACTTAGGTGATAATGGTCTTCTATCCAAGGGTCGATCTCGGTTCACGTCAGTTAACGCTGTCAAAGTTTTTTATTCATGATTCCCTACTTCTAATCTAATATATAAAATTCTCGTGTCCATATGTTCGTTCCCATACTCCTTCGAAACGGCTCGACCGATTCTTATGAAGTTTTTTATGCATATTCAGTAAGTCTGAAAAAATTATCATGAATCATGTTAGGTTTTGTCATAACTATTTTAATTCATATTCTGTCATTATGAGAATTGGCATACAAGCAAATAAAAGGGTTTGCTTTGAAACAAAATAAAAATCACATGCTTCTATCAAATCCGTCACTATACCGAGTGATTAATTTGAAATTTAAAACACATGATTTTTTAATGTAGCTTAATATATAGTAATATTTAGTCAATGTAGTATCCGAATATGAAAAAAAGTGGATTTTAGATTTTTTTCAAATCCGACATTGTTCTACGATGACGAAATGTATATTCAACAGGCGCGGAACACTTGAACCTTATATTCAAATTCTCCGATTGGATATTAAAAGAACATCCCGAGGAAGGGTTAAAAATATTTACCGAAGACATAGTAGAAGTAGAAAACCTACCTAGGCCAAAAGTCCTAGATTTTCTACTACGAGAACACGATACTTTGGTGATACCCTATCTGGAACACGTTATACACACATGGAATGACACACACGATCTGTTTCACGATGCCCTCATAAATATGTATAGAGAAAAAATCACTGATAAAAAAGCGAATTGTACTGAAGAGGAATTGCAGCATATTAAATCGAAATTGGTGGCGTTTTTGGAGAAATCGAGCCATTATACACCGGAAAGGGTGATTTTACATTTCCCAAATGATACGCTATTCGAAGAGCGTGCGGTCATTTTGGGCAAGTTGGGCAGGCATGAGCAGGCCTTGGCTATTTATGTGCAGATTCTTGGTAAGTGATACAATTAATTAATATTAATCTTTATAGAGATATTCATATTTTAAAATAGCAGGAAAAAACTTATAATTATAAATTTGAATTGTTTGTTAAATTTTCTATGATCAGGATACACGAACACCGACAAATAAAATGCAGTATTTAGCAAAAATATAATAATATATTTTTCCAATTAATATCACTATCGATATTTTAACCTGGTTTTAGTAAAATGAGTAAAAGTAGCAGTGTTGGCATAGTGGCTTTAGCGTGCGACTCTCATCCCTGAGGTCGTAGGTTCGATCCCCGGCTGTACACCAGTGGACTTTCTGTCTATGTGCGCATTTAACATTCGCTCGAACGGCGAAGGAAAACATCGTGAGGAAACCGACATGTCTTAGACCCAAAAAGTCGACGGCGTGCGTCAGGCACAGAAGGCTGATCACCTACTTGCCTATTAGATTGAAAAATTATCATGAAACAGATTCAGAAATCTGAAGTTCAGACCTAAAGAGGTTGTAGCACCACTGATTTTTTTTAAATAAAATGTACATAACGTGATAATTTTGTTTTCAACCATAATATATCTGTGAAGTAATCTACGACTTATTTTAGTCTGTCAAAACTGATAAAGGGAATTCGATTTTTTGTGTATAAAATCTTGAATGAAGTTTTGTAATGAATTTTAATATAATAACATTTATTACAGGTGACGTAGATAGGGCCATACGTTACTGTGACAACGTATGGACACGTAACGATAAAACAGTAGACGTATACGTAACACTGATGCGTATACTTGTGAACCCTGAACAGAACAATTCATTAACTGGACCCTTGGCCACTGTACCGAGACACCCAAAAGCTTCCACGCCCGATCTTGAGACGGCTCTAAGTATTTTGGAAAAGCACGCGGATAAAATATCACCTATTAAGGTGAGTGCCACGAATATGTTTAGGTTATTTTAAATATTTTTTTTTATATTTACGGTCAAATGCATTTTATGTTAAAAAACATGTGGCACTCGGGGACTGCCGCGGTAAAGCTATTGATTTTTTTTTTTCAACTTATGCAATTATAATTATTTATTTATGCAGTATTTTTTTTTTCTTTAATAAATTAATTAAATCTACCACTCTACCAGACTCAGACTAACTCGCCTATATAGTCTGTCTCTGGTTGCACCGATCTCGTCAGAAAGATGTAAATACGCAGTATGCGTTCTGTCTCGCTCTAACGCGCAAGGTTTTTTCGTTACGGAATTTCTGGATTCGGTCTCCAAGCTCGAGGCCCGCGATAGAAGCTATGCAATAGCTTAAAAAAAAACTGAGTTTTAACTACATATTAATAGTGTATATGCAGCCAAGACTGTTTATTTTTCTCATTTAGGCTTTCTTAGTTTTATAAGCGCGACGATTTTCTAAACCGCTGGAGTTCCGAGAATATAGCCTGACGCAGACTTCTTATTCTTTTGTTGTACGGTTAATATGTAGTGAAAGTAATATACCCAGGACTGTACAGTATATTTTATATGTTCTGCCTTCTTTTAGCGCAGCGTAAACAGAATTTGGTAGAAAGAAATAAAAGAGACTAATGATAAAATTCCAATTAGACTGATTTATTTATTCAAAGAAGTAATATATTTCCCTTTTTTGGATATACCATAATAATTACTTTTCAGGCGCTCTCAGTACTACCAGATAGCGTCCCCTTGGCTCGTCTCAGTAGTTTCTTGGAGAGTGCACTTCAAACACAACTCACCATGAAGCGACGAACACAAGTATTAAAAGGATTGTTGTATGCAGAACACACACAGGTAATATAAACTACTACTTAACTTTTTACGAAATACTTTCAAAATATTAAGTTCAATTTGCAGATTTTTGGTTAATTGTAAGTAATTATGACTTAGATACCTATTCTACAACGCTAATCAAACCTAAATCTTATTTTAGGAGCTGAAAATGTAGCTAGGTGAAGGGTACCGGGTTCGATTCCCGGTTCGAGGGCAAGTTTTAATTTAATTTAAATTTGTTCTCGGCCTTTGGGAGGGTTGTGCGGTACGGGCGAGTGCTTAAACCGTACATGGAGGACACGGTCGAATTTCTAAGGCAAACACGAATTATAAAAAATCTTATACTTGATGCACAAACCGTGCCAGAGCCATAAAAAGGAAAAAAAAAGGAGCTGAAAAATCATTTTTGTATATGAAGTTTGAAATATTTGCCAGCGCTTCACACGAGATTATGGCTTGAGATACGAATTAGAATAACGACCTTACCCTACTAGTTATTCTTAAAAATTACATCAGTCTAATTTTCCCTTTCTGCCAAATTGTGTTAACGCTATGATGAAAAGAGACAGATAGACTTTAATTAAAACGGCGCTATTAGACTGATGTACTTTTTTTATAAATAGGGTTCAAATTAACTTAGACAACATTTTTAGCTTCACTTTAATATTTGCAGGTTCAAGAGATGAAACAGTTCCATGAATCGAAAAGCATAGTTATAAACGACTATAACGTGTGTCCCGTTTGCAAGAAACGATTTGGGAACCAAAGCGCCTTCGTGCGGTACCCCTCGGGGGATATTGTCCACTATTCATGTAAATTGGATAAATAATAGGGGATTAATGTCTATATAGGCCGACAGAACTGGCCATTTAAAGTAGTTTGTATGTTTTTTCCTGCTGAAAGGCCTAGTCTTAAATCTTACCCACTTATTCATAGAAAATCCGAAAGAAAGAAATTTATTCGTTAATAAAAATAAAATACTTATTTCTTAAATATATATGATGAATAAAACTCTATTGTGTTGCTGAAATAATTATAGGGTAATTTCAAACTAAGTTTTTTAAACAAAAGATCTTAAAACAATCTTATATAAAGGCTAAGTAAATTTTATTAATTATCAATTAAGTACTTTAAGCAATTATAGAAACAACATAGTAGTAGTTAGTTATTCCATAAAAGTCCTTCAAGATTTGCTTCTTTTAAAAAATCACGTGACTCTAGCCAAAACTCGCGTCTTCTTCCACAGACTCTCAATCTCTTAAATAAATAAAACGTCAGTTTTGACTCATGTTTGTACAATCTAAAAGAAATATAATTATATCTGTATATATATACCGCCTTATCATAGAAAATTTATGCCAAAAAGTGGCTTCCTTTTTGTTGGGGACTCCATGAGGAGACCACCTCCAAGTCTAATAAGTTTTACGCTGTCACCAGTGACAGATGACTGCTGTAATTGTAATGTTGCAATAATTGTTATTTTATATGAAGAAGGATAAAAATTAACTATTTAAAAAATTATATAAGCGTTCTTATATCTATGCCTTTCCACATGTCTCTCCTGTCATATTTACGCACCAAAGCACTTTTTCATCAAATATATATATATATGTAGTAAGTATATGAATAAGGGAACGTGGGTAAAAATTTAATTGAGCCTTTGATCGAACATGTATATTCTGTTTTTACAATTTGATTATTAAATAAATATGGAGAAGCATATCCTAGATTTTTGTTGTATTTAAGCCATATATTCCAATTAAAATATAAAAATTTAGTCATGGTAACTTTATTTTTTATAAATATTATCATTGGATCTCAAGTGTGTCACGGAATGGATAAATAAGACCGAAGTACTAGCGAGCGATCTGTATGAACAATGAACATACTTGTTTATTTATTTTATTTAAGTAGCCAACGGCTCTTATAAAAATTACAATACCAAATGTATAATAATTAACAAAGAATTACCATGAACGCCTATCCTAGTAAAAGTACCGAATTCAATGGTTCAACCATTTCATTCATTTATGTCATAGACCAGAATTGATAAAAATATATAAATCTGATTGTAACCTTTTACTAAAAAAATAAAAAATACTTTTAATACTTTTTGGTCTCTATCTGACACGCTGTGATGATGGGACACAGGTGAGTACTTTAGTTAAAGCTGCTATATTTAGTACGAAATTCAACAATCCTTATTTATCTATTCAGTGTTTATATGGTTAAAATGGAAAGCTAACTTATTGTATAGTTTAGTAGGAATCTAGTTCCTTACATTGAGGAAGATCATTTTTTAATTGTGATAATACTTTCAACGCTAACTTACCAAATTATTATATAGTTTATAAATTCATATAAATAACTGTTGAAACACGATATTTGTAATAGACATATATAAACATAATCAGTCTTATAACAAAATACAAACAGTTATTGAATATTGCCTTATCACTATAAAAATAAATAAATGCGATTTTATATAAACTGTTTCAGCTGCAGTGTCAGTACTCTGTAATGTCCAATACCGTTAGCTATCCCGACTTTAGTATTAAGTTTTATTACCCAATTTCGGTAGTTCTCTTACGTAGGACTGATCGGAAGCTGGGTTCGGATTGGGAGTTACAGAGTACCGACGCAGGCTTAAACTTTATGAATTACAGAATGTACTGTAATTATTGTCTTGCTCATAAGTTATAATGCATTAAGAATATATTATTTTTTGTTACGACGCAATATGTCTATATGAAAATAAATGTTTTATTTAAATGTTTTTTTATTTGTCATGTTAGTAATAATAATAAACCTTTTTTATGCTTCACTATGTATTAGTTAGTAGTTTTAGAAACAGATTAGGTTAATACTGTAATAGTGTTAATAATTTCCGGCCACATCCACGAGATTATTCATCGCCAACGCTTCTTTTTCCAAACTAGGGCCCGTTCCAGCGTGTCCAACGTTGGTCTGCTCTGTAACATTTGAGTTATACTGCGCATGTATTAACATACTTTCAACGCATACATATTGCACATCGTCCATTGGAAACAGGCAATCGGGCTAATATCGGCTTGGTTAGTTTTATCATATAAGCTACTTCAACCGCGTGAAAAGCTACAATAAAGTACTTAATTTTAAATTAAAATCCTGATAAACGATGCATGTAATAACTTATGGGTATGTTTTGCATTTGTTTGTTTTTATAATACAATACTTGCCAATGTGCAATATTTTCCACCGTGCAAGGTGATATTCGATATACCTATACCTACTACACGGGTGCAAAATTTCGAAAGTGATTGTCATATAGAAAACTTTTGTATACATAATTCTATAATATATTCATAAGATCGTCAAAAGAATTAAATGTCTCCCAACTTACTGCCAATTGCCATTAAGGGCGTAAAACTGACCTTCGCTACTGCCATTAATGGCAAAGTATTTTGTTTACAAGATGCCTAATGAGGAAGCGGCTGGTGTTTAAAACGGACCTCGCGACATTTTTGCTTACAAAAAAAAGTAAACCTTGTAAATCTTTATCACTGGCTTCGGCACAGCGTCAATACAGTACCGGTATCGATATTTTTCGAGACTAATCAAACTAAAATTAAATTTAAAAAAAAAGTATCGCAATATTAAATCAATTAAATTTATTTCGGCGTCGTTTAGGTAAATCAACATGCGTATTTATAAAACTCATTACCTTTATTAAAACTCTGGTAGCTTTCTGCTGTTTGTTGAGCGCTAAAGTCGAATGTACTATGAATGTTTTTTTAATTGCACTATTTCAGTGATAATAAAAATTCTGAGTAATATACTGTTATATATTAATTTATAAATTATCAAGATTGTTTCACGAGTAGTAGACCGAATTAATTTTAAATAATATCAAACTTGTTAGTTGTTATCAGTGGGCGCATTAATTATTTGTATGACGCAGGCGTGACGCAATAAGCCGCGCGCGCCGAACTGCTTACACTTACACGAGTCTCAGCCGCATGCCTCTGTGGCCCAATGGATAAGGCATCGGCCTCCTAAGCCGAGGATTGTGGGTTCGAGTCCCACCAGAGGTAATACGAGTTTTTTTATAAGTTGTATATTTTAGTTAATTATATATATTCTATACAAATTAACTAGAGTTTAAGTATTGGAATTGGTAGTCTGATATAAACATTGCGCGTGTTTACAATATAAAAACAACCAGTATAGTGAAAAATTTATTATGAGAATAACCACTTTGCGAACTGAGAAATGAAATGTCAGAAAGAATTTATTTAGGCAATAATGTCATATAGTATTGTCTTTGATTTACATAACCTTTACACATTTAAAGAAAAAACTGTTAACATTTTTCAACTGTAAAGGCCCATTTACACGATGCCATTTTCTTGTACATACCAGAGCAATAATTGAATGCAATAAATGAAGCGCAATAATTGCCGTTCAAGAATTGGATGCAACTGTTTACACTTGAAAACTTGAATGCAATTATTGTATTCAAGTATTGACAAGGAAATAATTGCACATGCCTTTGTTTACACCAATGCAACTATTTTAAGGAGATTATTGCTTTCAAGTTTTGACTTGTCTAAACACAGGCTTGTACGTGCGTATACCATTTAATGGCGCTTTCGTGCAAGTATTGCACGTACACAATGCACGTGTATTTGCATTGACAAATTTTTCATTCAAGTCTTAAATATTTTAGAAGAGTGTCGGAGTTTGAATATGTAAATATTAATGTAATAAAGGCAGGTAACACTTGTCACATGTAAAGAAAAAGTTTTAGTTTAGAATATAAAGAATACCTGTTTGAATTTTATATAAAAAGATAGTTTCTGTTTTTTGTTTTTAGTACTTCTATTCTAGACGCAGATAGTGTAACATCTTTGGCTCTTTATAAACATTAATTATTGTTTTTTTTTTAAATAGACCCTCACCACCAGAGCTCAGTCTTCTTAAAAGATTAGAACCATCCAACAGAGAGGTATGAATATGAGTAAAAAGGTGTTTAAATTCAGTTATGCTGATATAATAAAGTTCATTGAGATTTATCGCAGTCATGAGTGTTTATGGGATACCGAAAATGTAAATTATAAGAACCGATGCACGTAATGCTGCAGCATTTTCACAGGAATTTGAAGTTGACGGTTTCGGACCGAAGGAAATAACAAACAAAATAAAAAATTTAGACTAAATTAATTTTTAATTTATTTAATTTTTATTTAATTTAATTTAACACACCCTCACTCACTGCACTCATGTTTGCAAATGAAGAGATAATTGCGTACAAGAATTGCGTAAGAAATTATTGTACGTGCTGTTTACATCAATAATAGTTTTGAAAGGAAACTTTTCCCATTGATCAAGAATGTTACGTTTTGTTTAGACCATGCAAATCATTTATTGCGTCGACATAATTGTATGCTACAGGCAAGAAAATGGCATCGTGTAAATGGGCCTTTAACATAATTTTAAATTTATCCAGGGATAAATTTAAAATTAATATTAAATACTTGTAAATTTATAATAATACATAACTTCAATCCGGTCAAACAGTTTTTTCTTTAATAATGTCATATGCAAGTAACATATCATAAAAACTCATAGGTATATATGGTAGGGGAGCCCACGATGCTAAATGGGGATTTACTCGAGCGTCGTAGAGACCTATTGGGATGCAAAGCTTAGATAATAAGAAGAAAAAAATGTTATATGATATATACCTTTTCATCGGTGGGGGAAGCGGCTATAGATTATTAAATATGTAAAAAAAAACTGTTGCATGGACATCCTCGAGCGCGTCAGATATTGATAGCATCAATGCCC